TCCCCCCTCTCTCTCTACACGGCCATTGTACTTAATATGAGGTTTGACTTGGACTCAACTTGACATTTGGATTAACTAGTTAAAGTTGAATGTGCATTACACGTCATTTTAAAATATTTTATAAGTGATGTAAAAGTAATTATTTTTGTTGGAGGATTTGATGAGTCTCGGATAAATTAAAGAAAATAAATTTTAGCGTAGAAATTTAAGAGAAGAAAATTGTACTCTCAAAACTCAATTTCTATGATTCAAATTTTTTGTAATGATAAAATATTATAAATGAGCAATATTTTTAATATATTATAGATATAATAAATCTAGATTTATATAATTCAGGATTCATCTAATGAAAATTCATTGAATCTAAATTAATGTGAATGTTAATTAATTGAGAATTAATAACACAAATTTCATAAATGACAATAATTATGTTGTATTTATGACATATCGAAAGACAAAAAGTAAGATATTATTAAAATAATTAAATTGTAGAAAGGTTAAAATCGTCCGAAAAATGATTCTCTGTTGATGTAATACTTTAATATAATTATAGATTATAGATTTTGTATTGAACAACGTTAGACCTCATTTAGGTTCAAATTGCCCCTTAAAAGGATTATATTCAAAAGAGTGAGAATACTATTTGTACCCAACTTGGCCTTTAAGACAACTATGTTCGAAAAAGATCAAGACTCTGTTGAGCTCAACCTAATCTAATGTCTTGATTGTGATTGAGTACAATTCTACCTAAATGTGTCAAGTTGAGCTAAAGGGACTCTTGACCTCGAGCCCTCTGATTCCTCTTTCGAGCATAAACAATCCTAAATTTCAAGTCGAGCACAAATAAACATCAGCCTCATTTTAACATTATTCACCATTTACATGTGAAACTTAAACCACAACAATGATCCCACTCATATCATTTTAAACATCTACAATGTACCCAACCTACCTTCATTACTTTAAAAGCTTGTCAACTCTGCAAAGGAGGAAACTTAATCCAATCTAATTGTTGACCTTTAAATAATGATCAACAAATTTCTCTTAGCTAAACAAAATTTTTTCATCTTAAACTCACTGCTCTGTTGCTCAATAGGGAGCAAGATGACAAAGACTTTATTGGGAGGAAATTCAAACCAACATAGCATTCTTCATCCCAAGTCTATTTAGGTCTTGGGGTCAAATGAGTTTTTTTAGTTCGTTACTTCGTTACATATGGCAATCATTGGTTGATTGATTTATAACTGATTCTGTTATTGAACATAAGTTATTTTGCAACTTCATCCTTATGTTTTTTGTTCAAGTATATTGACTCGTATTATGTATTAAAGGTTAGTCACGAGGGTTATCCCTTATGAGTGTTTTTAATTAATTATAAGTTCACATATACTTTTGTCTTCTTCAAAGTGCTCTCTTAGATATTTTAGATGAATATTTCATTTATAGCACTAATTTCACTAGACAAAATACTTTGAAAATTTATTTAGCTCTTGTTTGAGCCCCATTTTTTTTCAAAATACATTTTTCAATAGTGATTTGACATAATTTCAACCACACATTTTTCAATAAAATAATATTACACGTAAATTCAAAACTTTTCTTTATTTTTTAACCACATATTTTCCATCATAACACTATTCAAAATGCATTTTTTTGAGAAAAAGGGGCTCAAACAACCCCTTAAACATATTTAAAAGCAAAATGTAAAATAAAAAATAATGTCTGACTTTTAAAAAATAAATAATGCAATTGGCTCTTCGATTACCAACTAGGCGGGTACTAATCCAGTTGAATAATGTTATATAATATCAATGATGTTGAACATCAATTTAAGCGTCAGTATATCATAAGTCCTATTAAATAGGCCAAATTTTATTATATTTAATTGAACATATAATTTAACATCATTAGTATTGTCATTTAAATTGGTGCTAAACACAATTAGTACTTATTTTAGCCTTTGTTTGATTTTTATTATTTTTAAAATATATTTTTATCCCTTTTCTTTTCAATTATATATTTTTCAATAAAATAATAATCAAATTTTTTTAATCACACATTTAACAACAATCTATTATTTCAAAATGCATTCTTACAGGTTCAAATGGGCTTGAAGCCCTTGTTTGAGCTCTTTTTTTTTTTGGAAGAATGAATTTTTAAATGATATATTGCTGGGAAATGTGTAGTTAAAAAATAAGGAAAAAATTTGAATTTACATGTAATATTATTTTATTAAAAAATATATAATTAAAATAATATCAAAATATTGTTAAAAATATATTTTTTCAAATAAATGAGGCCCAAACAATGGCTAAATAATATTTATGCTACTGAGCATATTCCTATCTAACCACGTCACAATATTTTCTAGCGGATAAAACGATATTAATCCCTTTCCATTTCCCAATACACAGCAAGAACTGAAAAGTCCGCAATACGTGCACGTCATAGTCATATATACATACATACACACCCCCATAAAAGCATAAAAATCTACAAGATTCATCATCATCATCAATTTAATTTGTTATACAAATTTAACTTTCTACAGAGAATTTTAGGGAGAGAAGGAGATGGAGAAAGCAATTGAGAGGCAAAGGGTTTTGTTGCACCACATCCGTCCGTCATTCACTTCTTCTTCACTTGAAAATATTGATTCTTCAATCTCTGTGAGTTTTTTTTTTTTTTTTTTGGGGGTTTGTTGAATTGAGTTATAGTCCCTTTTTAATTTCAAAGAATCGGTCTCTTTATTGTAATTTGATTGAGTTTAGAGCTCTAGGTGCTTGTTCTTGAATTACGTGTTTTGAAAATTGCTGCGATTTACTATCTCCCTTTTTATTTAATTGTAGTTTAAATTCGCTTGTTGATTATCTGGTTGTCTAATTTTACTTTAACTATTAACTTAGATTTATTGTTCTAATTAAATTAATTTATAAGAGCGCATGTTTGAAAATATGAAATAATACATATTCATAATTTGAAGTTCGATAAATATATTTATGATGGTTGATGGTTAAGGTATGTTAAAATGATAGGATTTTTAATCTTATATTTCAATCAGGCATCTGTATGTTCAGCTGGGGACAGTGCAGCATACCACAGGACTTCTGTGTTTGGCGACGATGTGGTGATAGTGGCGTAAGTGGCTAATGATCAAAGTTGTGTTTCAAGTTAAAGTTCACAGCTAGGAAATTTGATTAAATTGGTTAAATGTTTCCTAACTACTTTTCTGCTTTTAATTTGGCATAGCGCCTATCGAACTGCACTATGCAAGTCAAAGAGAGGTGGCTTTAAAGATACATATCCTGATGATTTACTTGCACCAGTTTTGAGGGTTTGTTTCTTTTTCCCGCTACATATATGTTGATGTCTGTTCTTCTGAATGTCAAAGTTGAGAATTATATATCCAACATGTGATTTTTGTAATGATGAACTGATACAGACTTTGATTGAAAAAACGAATGTTAATCCAAGTGAAGTTGGCGATATTGTTGTGGGCACAGTACTGGCGCCAGGCTCCCAGAGAGCAAGTGAATGCAGGATGGCTGCATTTTATGCGGGTTTTCCGGGTAATCATCTGTATATTTTATGCTTTGAACTTTATTGTTCTGCAATAATAATGCCAATGAACTATATCTATATTTTTATTTAATGCAGAAACTGTACCAGTTAGAACTGTGAATAGGCAATGTTCATCTGGTCTACAAGCTGTAGCTGATGTCGCTGCAGCCATCAAAGCTGGATTTTATGATATTGGTATTTGGATATTTTCTTTATAATGATTTTCTTGTAAACTGGTGTACAGAATGCTTTACTTATTGTCTAGCTAAACTTCCAACTCTATGAACTAGGGATTGGTGCAGGGCTTGAATCTATGACTGCCAATCCTATGGCTTGGGAAGGAGATGTCAATCCAAGAGTATATTTCATCACTTTCATACAGTATAACTTACACAAATTTTATTTAGCAGAGTTCCATGGTCATATTTTTTATGTTTGACATCTTATAAACTCCAGGTAAAATCAATGGAACAAGCACAGAATTGTCTTCTTCCAATGGGTGTTACTTCAGAAAATGTTGCCCACCGTTTTGGTGTCACAAGGCAGGAGCAAGATCAGGCTGCTGTAAGTTGAATAGATCTGTCAAATTGATGTTTGCTTCAAATTAGGTATGTCCTTAATGACTTCTTAACCATCTTCTCAGGTTGAATCACATAGAAAGGCTGCTGCTGCAACTGCATCAGGGAAATTTAAGGAGGAGATAGTTCCGGTGAAAACTAAGGTAACAACTTTCTAAAAAAAATTCTGAGAACTGTTTTTGTATTGTTTTTATTTCTTTTGAGTCTTCCTTCGAACTTCTTGTTTGATTCTAATTTACATTTCATTGAAAAAGATTGTTGACCCAAAAACTGGAGATGAGAAACCTGTTACAATATCTGTTGACGATGGGATACGGCCAAACACCACTGTTGCTGACCTGGCAAAGCTAAAGCCTGTATTCAAGAAAGATGGTTCAACCACTGCAGGTAACTTAGGATTCTGTATTGCAGGCGTATTCATAAACTGTGGATTTCAAACACTAACTTCTCTATACTGTATGTTCAGGAAATTCTAGCCAAGTGAGTGATGGAGCTGGAGCTGTGCTTCTTATGAAGAGAAGTGTTGCTGTGCAGAAAGGACTTCGAATCCTAGGTGTATTCAGGTGCATAAATTTTCAATTAGAGTAGTTGCATAATTTTTGATTCTCAATATTAAATAATTAAAACCAGTTATTTTTTGTAACTGTGTCTCCATTGAATTCCAAAAAACCAAGCCCTGCCCATAAATGAACAGGTTCTCTCTTTATAGCTTCCTAGTTAATTGTATCATATTGTACTGCTCTGGTTTCTTAATTAATAAATAACTACGTATTTTTATAGTTGGTGTAAAATAATAACTGTAGATGAGAAACACGGCTCTCCCTCTTTAAAATGACAAAAGGTTCGGTCGCCTCTATTACAGGAGCTTTGCTGCCGTTGGTGTTGATCCAGCAATCATGGGTGTTGGTCCAGCGGTTGCAATTCCTGCGGCAGTCAAATCTGCTGGTCTTGAACTTGATGATATTGATCTTTTTGAGATAAATGAGGTATTTCTATACCAAATTTAGCAGTACCTTTCTTGTTACAATGTTAACAGTTCTTGATCATCGTGTATGCTGTCCTTCCTGCAGGCATTTGCATCGCAATTTGTATATTGCAGGAAGAAACTGGAACTTGATCCTGAGAAGATCAATGTTAATGGAGGTGCAATGGCTATTGGGCATCCTTTGGGTGCAACAGGTATTAGAAGTATTTTCAGATAAAACCTCACTTAAAGTTGGCTAGAATTTATGTTGGGAATTTGTATCCATTTGGTTGGGACTTAATTACGGCATATACTTCTTAGCCAAAAATCAAATTGTTTACTAGTTTTCTTGTTTTTTCTTTTTCGGTTCCTTCTCAGGACAAAATCTTTTAATACGATGCTCTCCTTCGTTAAAATATAGCTTATAGAACCCACTTGATGAGCATAGTTTGTATAGAAAATTTACAGGAGGTTTGATACTATTTAGATTAGGCGTTGACTGTGTTCTTCCACATACCATAGCAAATATTTTTCAGCAGTAGGGGGAATTTAAGACGTGTTGCATGACTGGTAAATGTGACAAATCAATGCTTATTTAAACAGGAGCCCGTTGTGTTGCTACCTTGTTGCATGAGATGAAGCGTCGTGGCAAAGATTGTCGCTTTGGTGTCATTTCAATGTGCATAGGTGAGTATTGCCCTCCATAATGCGTGCCCACACAGAATGGTGGGTCTGACAACTTTTATCAAGTATTTGTGACTAAATATTGATCATTTAACTGTAGGAACGGGCATGGGAGCTGCTGCTGTTTTCGAAAGAGGTGACTCCTGTGATGACCTCAGCAATGCTCGAAAGGTTGAAACTCACAATTTCCTGTCAAAGGATTCTCGATAATCACCTCATCGCATCTGTTAGTTTTCAATATTGTTATGGTTCCAAAAAGAAGCCGACTATATAGCCTGTAATAAACACGCAGAACATTTTGTTCGATTGGATCTGCTTGTACTTTTACCATTTTATGCCAAATAATTTATGGGTTTTGTTGATTATTAAGTATCAGTTCTTGCAGCTAAGATGTTAAGTTCTCTCTCTTTATGTCTTCATTGCATCTTTCTCTTTCTTATTTTCACTTGGTCTTTTGTTTTCAGGGAGACCAAAATTGCATTTATGGTTTGTTCACTTTCTTTAGAAAAAATGGACTGTGCCCCCAGGGTCCCCTAGCAACTTCTTAAAGTAGGTTGTATCTTATAATATCCGTGACTTCTTCAAGGTTGATCTTTAAAAAAAAAAAAAAAAAAGGATTGAACCCCAATCTTGAGGCTCCCATCGTCCTACCCCTAGAGCTTTGTGAAGGAAGTAAATCGCAGGATGTGTCCCAGCAGGCCAGGGAACAAGAGCTGTCTGTACACTGTGCCTACAAGGAGTCCAATTTCATGTCTCAAGAATTGAATCCTCACACTGCGGTTGCCAGTAAGGTGTGAGATAATTTCATTCTTGTCCTTTGCATCACTAGGCAATGTCCCGGGGGCTCTTCAAGGTTGATCTTTCATAATATAGATGCTAGTCTAATTTTGGAATATAAAACAAAATCATAAAAAAAGGTTGAAAAGCAGTTTATACGAAGAAAATAAATGCTCACAACTCAAATGATTCAGCAAGTTTAACTTATGACATTTGCATTTGTTGTATTGAGCCACTGTTTGTCATTCTTTATTTTACATTTTTCTCATTATTTTTTTTATAATATTTATTTTTAATCATACATTTTCATTAAAATAATATTTTAATCACACATTCTTTATCAATCACTATTTCATAATATATTTCATTAAATTAATGGGATTCAAACAAGACCCGAAAGTTAAGATCATTAGTTTTATAAAGCAAATGTAAAGGTACATAAAATTGCAAACTAATTAACTAAATTTGAACCCAATAAAGTTAAGTGATTAATTTAAAATTTATAGACTAAGAAAATTTAAAAATAGCCAATTGAAGAGAACCTTCTATGGTGTGCCATGAGTTCTAAAAAAGAACCGTGTGACCAACAATTTCTAGTTTCCTTCTTCGTTCAATCTATCATCCAAAATTCAAATTAGAATCTTCCAATTCACAAAGTCTAATTCCAATCTTATTTTCTAAATAAATATTAAATTATTAATCCAGTGTTTCTCCTCTATTCAAATATAACGGCAAGCGTCACCAGAAGGCACGATCCTCTGCAACAGGTCTACAAAATGTCTGTTAACAATTGTTGTACTTTTGACTTGAACCCTAAGAATTTGACTCCCAAATACAACATTTTCACCTTCTTTGATTGATTTAATTTTTGATATTTTTAAATCTCAGTTTATGTATTTTGACTTTTTTAAATCATATTGGCTTTACCAAAATTCATTTACCCACTTCGCAATTAAAATTTCAATTTACGAAATACTTTTTCAGTGAACTATTAAGTCAAAATTGTCAAGTACTTGTGTAAAAGCAATTATTTAAAAGTGGTTTTTTTAGAATATATGATTAAAAATTAGAAAAATTTATAGAGAGACGTGAAAAAAAAATATATATATATTTTTTAAGAGTATGTGGCTTAAAATGAGTGTGGGAAAAAAGTGATTTTCAAATAATCATTTTCAAACAAAAGCTAAATAATAAATATAGATCCTCAACTACAAGATATATTTTTGGATATCGCTACATAGTTACAATCCGTTTATACTTTAATGGATATAAAACACACGTGCTATAATACTTAGAAAAATGGCTCATAGTGCAACAAGAACCATAATCTTTCAATTCAAATATTTTTTATTGAGGATTTTTTCTTTATTAAGAATATTACACTTTTCAGATAATTTATGATAAGAAATATTTAATTACCATAAATTCTCAAGAAATTACAAATGAATGAAGAATTATTTTATTAATAGCCAAAGGGTTGGGAACAAAATAAATATACAAAAATTAACATTGAATAAAGCAAACACTTGACAATCAAAATCTTAAATAACTATAAATTTTGCCCTTGCGGGGAAGTGATTTTTGAAGACTATTTATCCGCCTCACTTATTTTGAACCACACGTTTTAAAGAAAATAAATTTTCACGATTTATCATAATTTTCCCCTACTTTTTAATCGCATATTCTTAAAAAAAATAAAAATAGCTCACACATAAACACTAATCTCATGCAAAGGGGCTCCCCAGTTGGTACTAACTACCTTTTTGATGGGGCTGATTTGGAAAAAAAATACAAAAAATCAATTTTTTATTGTTGTGAAGGTTCCATTAGCAAGAAAATATGACTCGTGTGACAAAAAAAGTGACGTATCTTTGCCAACATATCAAGACGTTATCTTTTGTAAAATATTTTAGGAAAATCACAAGTGCAATCTCAAGCACAAGCACAAGCACAGGCACAAGCACATTTCTATATTTTGCAGATGTGCATTAAAGCGGTAGACCGCTTTTGAGCATATTCTATTTAGAATTGTCAAACTTGTGAAATAGCAAATAATCTGCAATTTAAGCTCTATCGAACAAGGTTAAATTTATATTTTTATTTGACTAAACGAAAAAATGTAAATGATCTTTTTTCGCAAAATCCAATAAATGTTTAATAATATAACATTACTAATTAAATTATAAGTCTAAACTAAACATGCAAATATAGATGACAATCGACAAAGTAGACAGGACGGCCCTCCCCAATCGTTGACCCTGCTAGTAATTTTTGGGAGGTGGGGTCGAAATTGGGTTGGAGTTTATTGTCATTCCCATGTGCAAGTTCATAAAATCGATTTCAATACCTAACTAACTATCATTTATTAACTATTGTTTGAGACCGTGAAAACAAAATTATTTTTTCCTCAAACTTATTTTCAATCAAACATTCTCACGATAAAATGTTTTGCACGTAATAAAGCAAAACTTTTTTTTTTTTAAACTTATTTTCAAGCATACTTTTTTACAATAGAATGTTCTGTAAGTAATTCAAAATTTTCCTACTTTTTAATCACATATTTCTAAAAAAATAAAAATGATCTCAAAACTCATTTTTTACGCTATAAAATTCATTTTAATGGTTGTCAAATAGGGGGCTAAAATTGTCGAGTGTGAAAACTACCAAAATGGCAAAATCTATTCCCAATGTACAACATTTCTCTGCAGAGAATTTACGACTTTACTCCGATTGCAGCAAATACAGTTGCACAAGATCGCTCCACCCACCGCGGTTGACAGTTTGTATAAATCCAGGCTCCCTATGTTCTCTCTCAACAACTTTCAAACGATCATATCTCATATTCTCTCTCATCAGACCAAAACCCAGTTTTCTTTTGAATTTTCTGCTCCAAAACATTTTTGATTCATTTTCGGTTCTGGGTTTCTGTTCTTGAATCGGATAATAGAATTCAACAGAAAAAAATCAAATTATTATGGGTCAGCAGTCATTGATCTACAGCTTTGTGGCAAGAGGCACGGTGATTTTAGCAGAATATACAGAATTTACAGGGAATTTCACAAGCATAGCCTTTCAATGCCTGCAAAAGCTGCCTGCTTCAAACAACAAGTTTACTTACAACTGCGATGGTCACACTTTCAATTACCTTGCTGAAAATGGTTTCAGTATGTACCCTATTTCTTTTTCATTGTTTTAATTTTTGTTGGTTCTCTAATTTTGCTTGTACTAGTTTTTGTTATTTGAATGTACCCATTTTGATTTGATTTTAACTTGATCTTTTTTTATTAGGGTCGTTTTCTTTGATTTATAGTTATTGCTTGCTTATTTGGATGGAATGACAGTTTTTAAGATTGTTAGGCAGGTTGTGGATTATAGGTGTTCAATTTCAGAGATAAATACAGGATCTAAGTTTTCATAAGAAAATTTTCCAAGGATACTTTTAAACATGTTTTTATCTTTGGTATTCTAACTATGTGGTCTTGTGTAATATAAATCGTGTGATAATATATTTGCATGGGCAGTAGCCAGTAAGTGCCTGTGAATGAAATGCAGAGAGGCGTGCTACTCATTAATCATCGTGAGACTAGTGCGTTAGGAGGGATTATAACGAACACTCAGGTTTTCCCCCCTAAATTCAAGGATTTATCTGGAGTTTAAAAATGTTAAATCAAGCTTTGAGATGTTCTTAAAACGATATATCCTCTAGCCAGATGTGCCAATAAAAGTTGCAACTTCATTTGGGAGGATGGATTATCACGCTTTGTTTCTTTTGCTTATTCTTTTCTGATCCCCCACTCTGTTTCTAAGTTAGGGTTAAGCTGTATTTAAACAACCCCAAAAAAACACCTAAAAGGTTTTGTGCTGTGAAAGAACTTTTCTTAAAAGCTAAGGGTGATAAAAAAACTTCCCCAAGAAGGGAAAGACTAAGGAATGTGCTCTTGATGTTTAATACTCTTAAGGCATCGCTATCGAACATCTCTTCGGGTGAATCTTATCAAACTTTTCGAAAGCGATGAGCTTGCGAACAATGTTGCATTCTCTGTAATTTAGATTTGGTCTAAGACTTATTTTTTTATAATTAGATTTACCCATTGTAAGTTTACTCGAAATGTATCTCAAGTCTAGGTTGCCCTTCTTTTAATTTGTCTTCACTTGGTGCCACTGGTTGGTGTTTGTCATCAACTTTGGGGTTATTTATTGAAGTATAGCGACGCATCCATCTAAAAATCATCATTTCTGCAACATTTATTTTTTATGACCACTTCATCCTTTAACTATCTAAAGTTCAGTAGTATAAAGCATAGTACTGAGCTTTAGGGTGAATTGCCTTAACAAGAATAGTTCAGTTTGAACCTGGGTGATTATGTAATCCTAGGCTAGGTGACAATAGAGGAAGAGTTGTAAATAAATAATGGCTAATGCAGTATAGGATGTTTTGACGAATTCTTTTTAACTTAATTAAATTCAATTTCAGTGCATGATTGGCGAATTAAATTGAGTCTGGTGAAATGGAGATGTGGTCAGGCAAGAACAGATAAGAATTAAGATACCATGCTAACAAGTGCAGGTGACTATTTTCAATAAATTGCGAGATGGACACTTAGGTAGTTAGGGTATTCCTATGCAGACCTAAAGGCTCCTGTTTATAAGAGCGATACAATTTTGCTAGAAAGAGTTAGAAAAGAGACGGGCAGACCAAAACTATTGTAGCATCTTATGGTTGCTAAAGGTCTAATTTTTTAGGATCTTCCAGATATCACCAATCAACCAAACTGAATGGCAAAACATGATTTATGTTGTGACTCCAAATTTATTGAGAATAAAGTTTAGTTTGTTGTTGATATTGTTGTTTTGGGAAAAATTAGTTATTTTTATTTTTCAGTCATCTGGCGTCTTCTAGCCTTGGTGTGAAGTGAACTGACTACTTGAGACAGAGTGAAGTACTCCATCTCATCTACATTTTTTTTCATACTCCTTTGTGAGATATCCTTTTTGTGAACTCAGATGACAAATTCTACCTTTTTCCCACTGTATGTGATGTCTTCGAATGTAGAGTGTAGCTGATTTAGATGATGAAGTTTTAGAAGATATTTCAAGTTTCGATGACTTCTAGTTAAAGGTGGGCGCGGGTCGGTTTAGTTTGGTTCTCTTTAGAGCCAAATTGAACCAAAATTTTCGGGTATCTAGTAAATGGAACAGTCGGGTCCAAATATAATTATGGAACCGTTCGGATTCGGTTTGGTTCGGTTCCGTGCTATAATTAAATTTTTTAACATCTATAACAACATTATATAAATACAACTAATAACACATTCAATGGTTTTGAAATGTCAGAGACTAATAGACTACCTTGTTCAAACGATCGCTACAGTCAAAGTTTAGGTCGGCGGAAGTCACAGCTTCGATCGAGGTCATAGTGTCCGCCGATGATTGTATATGTTTTGGAATGTCAGCGAGGCTGTGAGAGTGAGTACGAGAGTCGAGACGGCGTTATGCACTTTAGTGTAGGTGTTTAGGGTTATTTAGTAGGTTGGATCTTTGTTGGACTAAGAAATGAAACAATAAAATAGATAATTGGGCCAAAAATTAAAAAATTAGAAATGAAACAAATTATTGGGCCAAAAATTTGGATTTAGAAATTGTTAATTTTAACAAAAAATTAAAATTAAAATAATTTGATTTATTCAATATAAAAAAAAAAAATTAGAAAGATCCAGTTCTTCGGTTCTTGGTCTAGAATCGAGAACCGAACCGAATCCGTCAGTTCTCAATTCGGATACCCCTTCGGGTATTTAATTTGATAAGAACCATCGGGTTCGGTTCGATTTGATTCAGGTTCGGTTCGTTCAGTTCGGTTCGGGAGATTTGCTCGGCCCTACTTCTAGTCAAATGCTTTCTAGTTCTGAAATTCATTGATCAAATTATAAACTCTTAAATGCCCTTTTGTTTTTTATATTTTAGAGCATCAACTAATCCGCTTATGTTGGCTTTTGTAGCCTATTGTGTTGTTGCTGTTGAATCTGTTGGTCGGCAAATTCCCATTGCCTTTTTAGAGCGTGTTAAGGATGATTTTAACAAGAGATATGGCGCGGGGAAAGCTGCAACTGCCAGTGCCAATAGTCTGAACAAGGAATTTGGGTAACTGCCTTTCCACCTTCTTAGATATTGCTTCCGGTTTTGTGGCCTTTGCCTAACAACAGTTGCTATTATAGGCCAAAGTTGAAAGAGCAAATGCAGTACTGCATTGATCATCCTGAAGAAATTAGTAGACTTGCTAAAGTCAAGGCTCAAGTTTCTGAAGTTAAGGGAGTAATGATGGAAAATATTGAGAAGGTGCGGAAGTCTTCAAAATCCCGCCATTACTAATTAGTGTTTGGTATCTAGGCTTGTTTAACTGTATTTGTTTCTTTTTCAGGTTCTTGAGCGTGGAGACAAAATTGAGATTTTAGTTGATAAAACTGAGAATCTCCGATCACAGGTTAGTTTGACAAGTACTCTAAATCTATGAAAAAACTTTGTTTCGAAGAAATCTGGTATGGGATATGCCCTCATATTTTTCGCGCTCAAATTCGCGTTTTCATTTTCTATTTTGACTGGGTTTCAGGCACAGGATTTTAGGACGCACGGGACTCAAATGAGGAGAAAAATGTGGCTTAAGAACATGAAGATTAAGTTGATTGTGTTGGGTATAATTATAGCTCTAATTCTCATCATCGTTTTGTCTGTGTGCCGAGGATTCAGCTGTTGATACCATGGCATGGGCAGGATTATATTTGCGAGGATTGTTGACTCTACTTTTTCGATGTTCATTTGCTCATAGTGATAACTCGCCTTTTCGATGGCCTTCTTTGTAGATGGCCCATAATTTCGATCTTTTGTATAGGCGGTCTAATGAGCATTGACAGTGGAAAATAGTTTGTTTAATGTGCAATTTCTTGCTTGACACTTTGATTTCTTAATTGTCGCTTATGTTTCTTATATCGTGAGGTGCATTTTGTAGGAATTTATTTAAAAGACTTATTTTATTTTGTGATTTTGTTATAGATTTTCGCCAATCTCGAATTGGATTCTAAAATAAAATATAGTGAAGTTGGTTAAATATCCTAGTTGCAGTTGATCTTTTTTTTTTTTAAATTTGTCATTGAATTTTGAGAATTATTTGAGTTGTTACTAGGCCCTCGTTTGGTAGCAATTTTTCACAAAAAAAAATTGAATAGCTTTAGACTTTTCAATTTTAGTTGAACTTTGAAAGTTTTTCGAGTTGCCATTAAACTTACAAAAAATGTTTTTTATCGTTACTCGTAGCATGTTATTTTAAAATTTAACAGATTAAGAGGGCGTTTGATATCCATTTTTATGTAAAAATGCATTTTAGAGTAGTAAATTGATGAGAAATGTGTGATTGAGAAATAATGAAAAGTTTTTTATTTACGTGTAATATTATACACAAGAGATTTGATGACCGATGAGATAAGATTATGATAAATTCATTAAGGTTTATTAACTTTGAAACGATGAACAACAAAACAAGGGATGTGATAACAATTTTGGTAAGTTCCACTACTATAGAGAATTTAAAAGCACAATTTTATTATTTATTTTTTATATCATAAACACTACAATTATTTTACAAATATGCTTAACCTAATTATGCCCCTACTTTGCATGATCAACTTTTAGATTTTAACTTGAGTTAAAGTCAACAATTAATTTTAACTATATATTTTATGAGATTGACAACTTTTCAATCACATACTTAATCAACTAATATCAAACTTGACTAAAAATCTAATTTTAATTATAGATCTTCTTTTTCAATTATCGTATCCCACAATCCTCTACCACCACGTTACGTCAACAGCAAACACAAAAATATGAGCAATAATTTTTTCGATTGCGCCAACTCCTAGTAAAAAAAAAAAGGTTATTCTTTGTTGTCGACCCTTCCACACCCAAGTATTTTTTTTTCCTTTCATTAATAAAATGGGTGGTTCAATTTATTCAAAATAAAATAAATAAATAAAAGAATACAAAGAAGGGTAATATAGTCATTTCATGAAGTGCAATGAAAAAAGATTGTCATCACTCTTTGCCGCCTCTATGCCTCTCTTTCTTCTCCATTTCCCGCTAAAATTCACATCCTCTCTCTCTCACAAATTAACACACAGTTCACACTCAGAGCTATGGATATGGATATTCCCGATCTTGAAGAGCTAGAATGGCTTGAATCCCACACAGCTCATTACGACGAAGAATTTGAAGATGAAGATTTAGAAATCGAAGCAATTTCACCCCCTTCCTCACCCGAACTACGAAAATCCTCAGAAAAACCCACTCTCTCACTCCCATCGAAGCCCTCGCCATTAAAACCCAGTTCAATAATCAATAACAATGTCAAAAAGCGGTTCCGATCTAACTTCTCCGAATTGCTCGGAGAAAATCCACTGGACCCGATTGAAAATAAGAAAGGCAGAACTGAGGAAGAATCCCAAAATAACGGTGGTGGATCAGGAATTTTGTTGGATGATCATGAAAATGAGATTGTGGGAAATGAAAATGTTGGTGCCAGTATAAATGATGGAAGGAGGGATGAGGATGCGGAGTGGTTGATATACTCACCGCCCAGGATTGTGAGGGAGGAGAAGGTAATTGTGGAGGAAAGAGAGGAGAGAATATTATCGAGATTTGCGACAGAGATAGAAGGAGATTGTGTGCCAGTTACCGGGTTGGATGGGGAGAGGGTCTACGCGAAGATGTGTAGAGGGATGATGGTTGAAGAGGATAGAATGAAGAAACTCAGTGTTAAAGGAGATTCTAATGGTGAGATTCAATTGTAAATTTCTTGCTTGTCTGAATTTCGTACCATCTGTCTGTTTAATTCTTTTCTGTTGTTAAGAGTATATTTTGCTTGGTTGCTTATCCCTTTTTAAGGCTTCTATGGACAATCTTGTGAATATTTGAATAGCTATCAAATTCATTTGGTTCTATCATTTTGAATGAATGGATATCTCTATGTCGATTTTTTTCCTTTTCTTTTCTTTTCACACTTTTGGAACATGGCGCTTTAGTTTTTGAGAACGTGCATCATGGTGCCCTGGTTTTAATCAATTGAAATATCTCATGGGTTATGGCGCTTGTTTTTAGTACTGCTAACATTTCACTGTGACTGTGAGCTAGTTTCTAAAGCTTACACTTAGTTTCTTAGTTTGACTTCTTCAGTTGAAAAGTTTTAAGATCTTATTCATTATGGATTGACCCTATCAGAGATCGATATTTTCCTTCCATGCTCTGTGTGTGTGTGTGTCTATATATATATATATATATATATATATGAAGTGCTCAACTTTGCTGTATAAGTAGTTTAGAATACCTCAAATTACATGAGATGCTTCAAAGTGTTTGGTGGGATTTGAGGGACAGTTGCGGCAAGGCTGTATGTCTCTTTTCTGTATTTCATTTTAAGGTTTAATAATAAAATCCAGTATTAAAAGAAGTTAGAATTAGTGTTCCTGTTACTTCTCCAAGTAAGATAATTTTTGCCACGTTTGATAAGCAACTTATACCTCTATGTGAAGTTGTCTACATATTGCACTTGTGCAATTGAAAGTCAAATACATATCCTTTGAAAAACTTATCTTTGCCCATACTTCATCTCTAAACAAATTTCCAGTGATTTTCCTTATATATACAGAATATCTGAAATTGTATCATCCATCAATACTTTTATGTAATTTTCCTGTGTTTTTCCTTCTATATACAGAAAATCTGAATTTTTATTATGCATCAATCACAGTTTTCTTTACTGGATGTAGAAATTAACAATGTAACCACTCTGCATGCTTCTGAACTACTCTTTGTTGGAAAACTTAGGGAGGATATCGATGAAATGATTATGTTGAAATTGCAGGGCTCATTCCAGAATCTGTCAGGGTTATGATGCAAAGGGTGGAGCATGATGAATTTACAAAGGTACTCTTTGGATCATGTGATGCCTTGCTCTTAAATGGCTGAAAAGAAGGGAAGAGGAGAACAAAGAAATATTTATAATGCATTTATTTGTCCCTCATAGATGACCATCCGTAGACTACCTGTCACTCCTTTCTTCTACTTCTCATACTCTGGCATTACTTTTGGGGGAATTCAGTTGTTTTTTTGCGCGTGTAATAACTTGTATATATTTGCTCAATTCTTTTCCTTCTGTTTATCCTTTCTCACACAATGAATCTAAAACTAGGTTAAAATAAAATTGGATTTTGCTTTCATATGAAGGAAGAATGCTGATGTGCCTTCCTAAAGCGTTGCAAGTGGCCCTTTTTTTTTTTTTTTTTGGCAGTTTATTTCCATTTTAGTTTTACAACCACGGATTCATTTTATAGCAGTTTTTTTCATTTTATACAATCTATTTATATAATCTCTAGCTAAAAATTTGACTTTGAAGGTAAAGCCGACTCAGCTTCTTACTAAGCTTGTTTTGAATAAATAACAATTGATTAATCTGTATAACCGTATAAATTTAAAATAAAAAATGAAAGAATCTACATCGTGTTTGATAGACTGTTGAATCCAATTGATATCAAAATGGATAATGATCTTTTCCAGTTTTAGCTTCATGAAGTTGTGAAGGGCCCAACTTTGATTTTGTTTCAAGAGATTTTATACATATTTGTTTTGCATATGATATTGTTCCTCCCTCATATTTTGTCATGTCATGTTATTGAAGGTTTTGCGAGCAAGCGTTGAAGGTCAGACTGATATAGTTCTTCCAAAAGCACCAGCAGTTAGTGAGCAACTTTGGGTGGACAAATATGCTCCAAGTTCATTTACAGAGCTTCTCAGTGATGAGCAGACAAATCGCGAGGTATGAAACGAGCATGAAGAAATTAATGATACTTCTTAATCATTTGAGTTATTTTGCCGGATTGGTCTAGCTTTTTCTTTAGTTCTCTAAGATTTATTTTTGTTTCTTCTTTAGGTTTTTACTACTCTGGAATTTTCACTAGTCTTATCTTTTCTGTTGCTTTTTGTAGGTCCTTTTGTGGTTGAAACAATGGGATTCCTCTGTTTTTGGATCTGAAGTTAAGAGTACAGGAAATGAAGTTTTGTCTGCTTTGAGACGACATTCATCAGGAGCTCAACATCTGAAACGTTCTACCAAGAGTTCTTTTGCAAGCAATAGAGAACCCAGATTTATTAGAGAAAATGTGAGAGCTCATAACAAGATGGATGAAGAAAAGAATGAGTCATCAGGGTTTCATGAGGCATGGGACAAGAAGCGCAAGCAATTTGGTCCACCGGAACAGAAGGTCAGTTGATACTGACTTTCCCTTGCATTCATCCTCATGGTTGTCTGGAGTGTTAACCTGGAATTGTTATAACTATGCTGATTTATGATTCTTTCCTTGTAGATCTATAGAATGGTTAGACTATCTACACTTGATGGTACTGATTGTTTAGCAGTAGGAAAGAGTATCTATAACAGTATTAACCTGAACCCAATGTTGTTATTAACTATGCTGATTTACGAGTTTTTTTCTAGCAGATCTATAGAATTGTCATCATGTCTACGCTTTATGGTACTGATTGTTTGGCAGTAGGTCAAAATATCCATAAGATGAATGTATAAAAAATGAGGATGTTAAGATGGATGTGTTGTGATGCTAGAATGGGTAAAATAAAAAGCAAGGAAATTATCCAACAACTGGATGTTGCATCATTTGATAATACATCAAGGAAAGAATTAGATGGTTGAGGTATGTTTTGGGAGTACCTAAAGAAGTTCTATTTATAAGAGTGAAAGGATCTTCATTGAAATAGTTAGAAAATAGAGAAGTAGACCAAAGTTAACATAGCCAGATATGGTTTCCAAAAAATTGATTTCATTGGATCTTTTAATAAATGTAGTGCTACATCACACGAGTCTTGGCGAGGGATTATGTAGTTGACCTCAAGTTCATTGGAGAAAGAGTTAGCTTGCTATTATTGTTTGTTTATTTTTGGAACTTTTATATTGCACAGCAGTTTTTTTGTTAAAGGATTTCATGTCTTGCAGATTCTTCTGCTTTGTGGCCCCCCTGGGCTTGGGAAGACAACTCTTGCACATGTAGCAGCCAGGCACTGCGGGTACCGTGTTGTGGAGGTCCTGTAACGTCAATCTTTTATTGATTCTCATAAATTTAATTTTATTCCATATGCTTGTTTACAGTTCATTCATATAACATAACTTCATGACCATAAAGTGAGATTCATAACTTCATGACCATAAAGTGAGATTCAGTTCACCTTACTGTTTTTATGGTAAGTTGTCGACCATAAACATACATACCTTGATATGTAACAACTTCCAATCATAGATGAATATATAAGAACCAATTCTGGTTTTATTTTTCAGTATTATTGTGATTGCTTGAAATCTACTGCTGTTAGACAGTTATTTATAATGCTCACTTATAGTACCAACTGTTATAGGGCTTCTGATTGTTTTCCATGATTTCTAATTTTTCTACTAGTTTTCACATGTTATCCCAACTTCTAACTTTATATCATCATGCAAAACTTAATCTTAGTCTATCATATATTTTCTTTGAAGGCCTTTAAAATATTCCATAGGAATGGAGTGTCTCTGAAGTAATTTAGTTTTAATTGTATTCTACATTTTACATGGTGCTTGTTTGGTAGGGATTTTGTTAATTAATTTTTTGATCGTTAGAGATGAAGTGGTTCTATCTATGGGAGAAAAATTCAAAAATGACGGCTGGAATAGTGAAATAATGGTTAAAAAATTGATTTTAATTGGGTTTTAAGCTATACCAAACATGCTCATGGTATTCATGATAAGTGCTTTTTGTAACAGATCAATGCAAGTGATGACCGGTCATCATCAACCATTGAAACCAAAATCCTTGATGTGGTTCAGATGAACTCCATCATTGCTGATTCAAAGCCCAAGTGTTTGGTCAGTTTAAATAAGTAAATATGCTATTTTAGAAAACCATTTTTTTCCATCTCAGTTCTAGTTAATCTTGTCGTTCATGTGATTCTAAACTAGCTACTGTCTTTTTAAAGATTATTGATGAAATAGATGGGGCTCTTGCTGATGGAAAGGGTGCTGTTGAGGTCATTCTTAAATTGGTAAGTTATGTCACATTTCCATAACTGATAGCAATATCATTATCAAGTATTGAAACTGAAAATTACGCAGACTTGGACATCAACACTTAAATAACCTTGGCAATGGATGCATTCACCATGTAACAGGAATTATCTTCTGGTCCAGCAGCTATTTTTCAAACAATTTATGTTTGAGGGTAATGAAGTCAAACTACTATCATGATGGTGATGTGTATTTGCACCACCAATACCTTTTACATCGCCATATTCAGTCTATTCATGATCTCGATTGAATACTGTAAACAAATTAATAATATTATAGAATTTAGGAACCAGACGGCTACATATTTTAAAGAATATCTGAAAATAAGCTAAAGAGATTGAAAGTTTCTTTCATTCATTGCTCATTGCTGTGATTGCATATCAAGATTATTAGGATTTGTCAGTCTTTCAAACCCCATTTCTTTTGATTGTTTGTGAATAAGGATCAACTTAGAAACTATTTTGTTGGTTACACATATAACAATATGTTGAACAATTTGATCTAAAAGTTTAAGCAATTAGATAGGATTACATTATATAATTTAAATATTATCTTCAGCGTTCTCCTCACAAGTAGACATGATTCATTTTTTACTGTTAAAGCCTAACATGTGCACAATTTCTTTTAAATGGTTGGTGATGAGACTTGAAACCAGAATCTTTACTGCTTTGATACTGTGAATAATTTTCTTAAAATTCATATAAGAATGAATTCTGAAAGTTAGACCACCAAATATATAGCAAAGTAAACCTATTAGTTGCCTTCTATAATTATGCTTATTAGGTCAACTATCCAATAAAGGAATACAACATTATGTCCTAACATCTCTCCTATGATTATACTAATGAGGTCAAACACACAATAAATGAATACAACTACTTATAGCTGTTTACCAAATAACTCCAGCTATGTGCTCTGCACTTTCTTCTAACGGGATGGTAGTAGATCTAGATAAAGTTAAAGCAAGTGTGGAGTGGTCAGTTCCATGGCATTTAAGAAACATACCGAGTTTTCATAGACTGGTACATTAATATGGTTGGTATGTAAGAAGTTTAACCACCACTATGGCTCCAATTACTATTTATACAAAGAAAAATCCTTTCACGTCGAAAAAATTTAAGAGAAAAAATCATATGAGATCCTCTTGCTTTTTGATTACTTTTTCTATTTTTGTATCAGAAGATTTATTACTTTTAGAAATTAGTTTTGGCTAGTTGTTTTCTATTTCTCCATGCACTTGGTAATTTTGCTTATTTGCATAGTTCTCACTTCACACTGCTTTCTATTTTCTAGGTAAGTAACTGTCAAATCCATGCTTTCTTTGTTTTTCTTTTCTAGGATGGAAGTCTACAGATTCAAATTTATTTATCGTACGGAACAATAACACAATTTTTACCTGTACAGGTGTCTGCTGACATAAAATTTGATTCTGGAAAAGAGAATGTAGCTCATGGAGAACATTCTGGACAGAAGTCTTCACGAAAGAAGCAAAGGAATGTGTCGTTGTTAAGGCCTGTAAGTATGACGCGTTCTCGAATGTTGATCATATATTATTCTTGACATTGACTTCAGCGAGTATGATATGTAGGTAATATGTATTTGCAATGATCTTTACACGCCAGCCTTAAGGCCATTGCGCCAGGTGGCCAAGTAAGTTTTGCTGGCATTTGGTCATGTGATTTTAACTTGAATTTTATGAACTGAAACTAGCACAGTACAAAGATGATGCTTCAAATTGAGTTGGCATTGAATTTTTTATAATTAATTTGGTTTTATATTTTATAGCATCTTGATTTTCTAGCAATGCTTTTATGTGTGGAGAATGTCATTCAATTTTTACCTTATAAGCTGGAAATGTATCATAAAATTTCTTAAAAATTAAACATGACGTGATGCAAGTAGGAAGTCTATTCAACTAGTTGTAACAGTAGACCAATATAATCCTTGTTTGAGCCACATTATTTCAAGAAGAATGTATTTTTGAATGGTGTATTGATGAAAAATGTGTGGTTAAAAAATAAGAAAGAAATTTGATTTTGCGTGTAACATTATTTTATTGAAAAGTGTAGTTGAAATGATGTCAAATTACTGCTTAAAAATGTATGTTTTTGAAAGAATGTGGATCAAACACACTCATAATAGAGATGATATTTGACAACCTTCATCTAATCAAGTTACTTCAGTTATTTTTTTTTACCTCTTTCTGAATAAACTTACTAGGTAAAAAGAGCAATAATCACATATATGAGTCATGATAAGACGTTAATTTTTTTTTTTAATATTTTAAATCAATAACTGGGTAGTGCCCCTTTGTACCTTGTGCAGATGGATCAATTAGATGGGTATGTTTTATTAAAGACGTCTACAACCATCTGGGTTCATTAATGCATGAGGTCTTGACGTCACACAAATGAAATATAATATTTATCTTTTATACCCCCTTTGCAGGGTTCATGTTTTTGTCCAACCGACAGCAAGTCGTGTCGTAAACAGGTATTGAATTATTAAATTTCAGTTCAATAAGTATATTCCTTGATTAATTCGGTGACATATTTGCATTTAGCTGGTACTGCAAATAAATCAAAGCTACAGCTACGGCTACTTAACAAATCAAAGTGTCTAATGGTAATTTGAGGAAATTGTAGGCTCAATTATATATGTAAAAAGGAAGGACTGAAGACAAGTTCCATTGCTCTTACCGCATTGGCTGAGTATACTGGTGAGTGCTATTCCCTCTATAGTTGAATTTATATCTCATGACTTTAATATGCGGTTTGTATATACGAGAGCCTCATGATTGCTTATGTAACACAAGATAGATATTGATAGCGTGTTAAAAGAAATGATATGTTGTAGACAATCTATGCTATTAGGCAAGTAGTAATCATCCCTGAAATTGTCAAAGAAAAGGTGACAGTTCTAGTTTGATGGTTATCTATTTAAGCATCCAATACTGATTGGTAGTGAGTGGAGACTGCCTACGACTCCTCCGGGTTTGGTAGGTGGTAATGTGCTGATGTGGGATCTCTTATCTTGCTCCATGACTAAAGCTCCTAATAACAGTTTGATTGGCAGAGTAATAATGGCTAGACTAAAAAAATGAGCGACTATGAGAGAAAAGATTGTTCATGTACTTGTCTGAAAATCCTTCATCATAAATCCAAACCTGTTAGACAGGATTATTCTTGTCCAAATCAATACATACTCAAATTAGCATTTTTGTATATAGAATAATATATTCTTTCTATATTTAGAGGGAGACAAATTGATGTAATTACCTGTATAATAGCCATGTATTGAGCCATGGCTCTCTATATATTGAAATGAAAATCCTCCATTGAGAGGCAATTGAAATCAATTTAACAAAACCAATTGGCATGAGGGATGAGTGTTTACAAGACCTGCTCTCTTAGTGTGAGAAATAGACAATCAAAATATGTCAAGAGACAATAGAAAACAAATATTGGATTGATAGAAAATCAAAAGCACCTATAGCTACCAGTGAACTGGGGTAATTTTACCAGGTATTTGGATCTTTCCACAGGGATATTGTTTGAAATGAATAACTGAATAGAAATGTCTTGATCATGTGAAATTTCTTCACTGTATCATCACTTAGACCCTAAAAGATCAATTTAAAATTATCAATAATCAGGTTGGTTATTTATCTTTGGAAGTAATTTTTTTTGTCAACAATGAATATGGTTGCTGATGTGCCTGAAGAAATAATTCCCGCATCTGAAATCACAATAATCAATGAGTGGCTGAAGGATCTCCATGTTTGAAGGGGCAAAGAAATGCACAATAATAACTAGCAAAGTAATAATGCTTCTTTATAAACTAGTATTGAGTGAGGAAACATTAGTTGTATTTAACTTATAGGATCTAAGTTCACTGAACTTGTATGAAATTATAGATTGGTCCTTGGTTTCATCGGATGATTCTCTCATTTATTACCCCCTTGCTGATTTGCAGAATTATTCTTCTAATTTTTTGACCACTTTGTCAATTATCAATTCCTATTTTTCTATTCCTCAGAATGTGACATACGAGCATGCTTAAACACACTTCAATTTCTAAACAAGAAGGAAGAGCCCCTCAATGTGGTATGATGCTGTTGTCCTGTTTTTACCTTGTTCTCACCAATCTACTAATAAAGCAGGTCCCTGTTCCATGGAAATTTGTTATTCATAAGACTGAACAGTGTTTAGTAAATGATATATGATGCTTCTTTGTGTAGTTGTCAGAAACTATTATTTGCTACTATATTATTCTAAAATCAAAAGGAACAG